AGATCCAGAGTGCCATGCTGCAAAGCTGTTAGAAGTGATTATTCTGCAGTGCAAAGGTCGTGGCATTGATCAGGTCAGTGTCTAATGAAGATAATCCCATTTACAGCTCAGAGTGGTGAAGTGGTGAGATAATTACACATGCTCTAAACATGTGTCTGCAGGATGTGCGACATCCATTTGGCTGGGAGTTTAAAAATAAACCAACTACAACAAATTAAAATTACATACAAAATCCTTATTTTAAAGGAATAACTTGTTGCAGGTTGTTCCCTTGTTTGTGGCTGCTGCATTGGAACGTTTGACGCGGGAGGTGAAAACCAGCGAGCTGAGGACCATGTGCCTGCAGGTGGCCATCGCTGCACTTTACTACAGCCCCCCTCTTCTCCTCAACACTCTGGAGAACCTCCGCTTTCCCAACAACACTGAGCCAATCACTAACCACTTCATAACCCAGTGGCTCAAAGATGTCGACTGCTTCCTTGGGTGAGACAACAGTATTAACCTGTTAAATATTAACCTTCCTTAATGTCAGGACAAAGATCTTAGGCCTCATTCTAACAGGAGACAAATTCTCTTGCTTACAAACGTATTGTCATGCACATCAGCAATTTAACAGCTGGTATTATCTTTAATCCTACTAAATCCTACTGTTCCACTTGTTCCTCTCAAAGCCTCCACGACAGGAAGATGTGCATTCTCGGACTTTGTGCCCTCATCGATCTCGACCACAGACCTCAGGCTATCAACCAGGTGGCGGGTCAGCTTCTTCCAGCAGCCATCCTACTGTTCAGTGGCCTCAAGAGGGCATATGCCTGTCGAGCGGAGCATGAGAATGATGACGACGATGACGATGAAGATGGGGAGGAAGAGGACGACAATGGTAAGGCCCATATCTTTGTATTCAGTGTTGCATCAGCCACATCTGCAAGGTGAGTGAAGGTGTTAACAAGACTCTGAATGAATGCAGCTGAGCTGGGCAGTGACGAGGACGACATTGATGAGGAGGGTCAGGAGTACCTGGAGATGCTGGCGAAGCAGGCAGGAGAGGACGGAGACGATGAAGACTGGGAGGAGGATGATGCTGAGGAGACAGCACTTGAAGGCTACGCTACAGCTGTAGATGATGAAGACAACTTGGTGGACGAGTATCAGATCTTCAAAGCCATACTACAGAGTAAGGCAACGATGACGTGATTATTGAAAGCTTGTGGGAGTTACTTTGTGTCCGTGTTGTACATCAGTCACTAATCTGACTTTGTGATGCAGATATCCAGAGCCGTGACCCAGCGTGGTACCAGGCACTAACACAAGCCCTCGATGAGGAGCAGGGCAAACATCTTCAGGACATTGGCACACTCGCAGATCAGAGACGGGCAGCACATGGTGAGCACCAGCTGAGACGCTTCCTCAATTTTCCAATAAAGACCTGATGGGCTTTTCTGTCTGACAATAAAGCAACTTTTTACATGCTACCATTTCTTGTTTTTTGTTATTGATAGTGACTCTTTGTTTAAAAAATAAAATAAAAAAACGTTAATGACTTTTCATCCATAAACTTGCCTGGATTAAAGCAGCACTACCATATTCATAGCCTCTACCATAGACTGAATATAAAGACGGACTTCGTGATGGCTCACAAACGTGTGGTCAAAACATCTCAATCGCCACCTGGTGTCTGGCTTCAGTATTGGTTTTAGACCCTGCCTTCTCCATGTATGTGAATGTGACATGGATGGAACAAACTAAAGTCGAAATACACATGATACTTGTGTCAAAGATGGCTTCTGTCATTGTAAGTAGTTCTTAACACACTGATGTATGTTCAACTGTTAATTTCTCTGGTAATTTTGGTTTGAATTAGTTAGCGTGAAACCTCATGATTGACAGGTGAAACTGACTCATGATTGGTCAAGCGCATGCGTTGGCTCCGACCCCTCCCATCACTACTGCACAGACTCCGGCTCCAAATGCGCAAGATGGCAGCGTTCTTGTCCAGGATATTTTGGCTTCTTTCTGGATAGTGGGAGGAAGTGGAGACGCGTCGTCCATCTTTATATTCAGTCTATGGTCTCCTCCAATCAAGTTTGGTTAAACATCATTCTTTATCTTCATTTAAGTAGTTTAAGTTCAATAGTAAAATGCCAGTATACTGTGGAGTAACCTTTTTTAACCTGAGAATGTTAGAGAAAGCCTTCATCACTTGAGTTGAGAGCAGCAGAGGGAGAAGACAATGCATGACATGTATTTTAGGGCTTCATATATTATACAGATTTTCCTTCACTTGTCTATTTGTATTTCCTGTCGTATTCTCCGGACAGTTATGAAATCGGTTTTTGATTAACTGGCTGTTAGAATGGCCAACTTTTCGGAGGTGTTCAAGCACAAGCTATGTAGAATATTGGCAGTGAGCAAGAGTCCTGTCTGTCTGATGTTTAAAGTTCTGTCACTTATCTAATTTCAGAATCCAAGATGATTGAGAAACACGGCGGGTACAAGTTCACAGCGCCGGTGGTGCCATCTACTTTCAACTTTGGAGGCACTGCTCCAGGAATGAATTGAGTCATCTGTTATTCTTTTTATTACTATGTGACTGATTGTAGTGAAGTGAAAAAAGCTTGTGTTGTTCCCTTAAGTAGTGGTTCCAGAACTGGTTCTTCTCAGTCATTCTTCAATCTGTCAAATGGGGAAATAGCACCAGAAGATGTGGGAAAGCAACCAAAATGCAACCAATGGCTGGGGAAAACAAACCAAGAACTTGAGCACGATGCAAGAGAAGAAGCTCTGAACAACGTTGTCTTCTGGAGCCCAGTGTGGAGGGGATGTCACGACGGCAACTCTGTTTTTGTTTTTTTTCCCACTTAAACAAAATTGGGGGATTAACAGTTTAGAAATTGATAATGGGACTTAATATTTCATTATCGCTGTTGTGGCCATACGGCCGTGATAAGATTATACCTCTGGTAGTGGTGATATCTACGTTATTTTCTGCATAAACACTCATGTTTATGTACATACAAGCCAAGGTTATTGATTTTTCAGGTAGCCTTGAAAAACAACCAGAGGCATTTGTAAGGTGTCAGCAGCTGTATTCATATGTAGCATATTGGATACTTCTTAGCACTATGTGATGCCTGATCTCTGTAAATTAATGACTAGCACTTTCATATTGTTCAGGTCTCCTAGCCTTCTGTATCAGACTGCAAATTTTTTTAATTGAAGACTATTTAAAATGAAAACAGCTGTAACTTTGTTACTCAGCAAGCGACTTCTGTAATGGCTGGTTGTAACGCATCTGGTTACAGAGTGGATCAGTGGGCAACTCGGAAACATTGATTCAAGGAAAAAAAAAAAAGAGAATGCTCTTGGTGTTCGGTATGGCTACAGGATGTTTGTGAGCACTGAAAGTACAATTGTATACATCATGTGAAGCATGTACAATTGTACTTATCGTGAAGGTCTCAAGCTTTTGGTTGGTGTATGGATGACCCATCTATATATACAACAACATATTAAAAAAAGCTAAGGGAATTCATCACCGTGTGTGTTTCCTTATACAGGCACGTTTCTGTTCACCAGAGGGCGCTGCTCTCCTGTGATCACAGAATCACCACATGTGTACTCATCACTTCATACTGGCCTGGTTTCAAACACTGCCCCCTACAGAGCCTCTTATACAAAGTGTCCTGAAACTTTTGGACATTATGAAGTATGGAACATGATAGACGCTGCTGCATAAAGTAGTTTGTAATCCAGGCTTAATTGTGGACTTAGACAGTGGGGAGGCTCCAGGATTTACTGAAAATGTATCTTCATTTATTATAACTTTTTATACTAAAATATACTTCAAGTGTTTGATCAGATTAGCACACACGAGCAAGGTTTGTAATGTGCACATTAGATATTGAGGAGGACCATTTCAGCCAAATATATGTTTCTGTTTTGCCTCAAGTATTTGGCCATTGTATTTACAGGTATGAGTGTGCACGCTATTTAATAAGCGCCTATCAAACACTGCTGGCTGTGCGCACAGAGGAATACACGTTTATTAAATGTGTATCCCTCTGTATCTTTTGCTATTGTAAAATATTCACAAAAATCAAACCCTTGATGGTTAATCACCATCTGAGCTTTATTTTTCAGTACTTTTCTGGCGTCTTTACGACTGTCATAACCAGTCTGACGGTGTAAAATAGAACAATAGAGGAAATTGTATCTGCTCCCTCTTTCTCCCCTTTTTGCTCCACCCTCCATCTCCTCTTCCCCATTCCTGTCCTTTCAAACCAACTGGTCGAGTTCGATGCCAGAGTCTCCACCACTGTGTAAAGTGCCTAAAGATAATGTGTGTTGTGATTTGGCACTATCCAAATAAAACTGGATTGAATTGATCCCAATCATTGCAGCTTTGCTAATTTTAACTCTAGTCATATACTGTTAGATATAACTAAATATATCAAATAGAGAATCTAAAATACTATTTAAAGCAAGTGAGTTTATACATGATTGTTATCAGCGAATGCACTTGAAATTTCAATGGTACAAGTATTTATTCAGCAGACGGGTCTATTTCAGACTATATATTACTGTATAATTATGATGAATAGAAATGTGGCTGATTAGATTGGCTGGCAATATGTAACAATTATGTTTTTGTTTTATTTTTCTATTGTAAATGGAGTATTGGAGAGTTTTGGACAAACAACTTGAACCAAGATGGGTATTTGTAAAACTCTTTTCCTGACAAAGACTAAATAAGCAATATATTGATGAATACATAAAATGTTTTATTAGTTCCCAAATTAGAAATCAGTAAAAATTAGAGTGTAAAGTTTCCTCTCATCCACCAGTATGAGTGCTTGAGCTTTTATAACGTGAAGGCTGGTTTATTGGACCTTTAAACGTTAGGTGGCGCTGTCAGCACACTTCTCCATGCAGTCTGTTGTTTTTGAGGGGCGGACATTTGAAAAACCTCACACACACACACACGCACACACACACTGACAGATCACTGCAGAAGATGGTGCTTCGAGAGGAGCTGTTAAAGTCCATATGGCACGCGTTCACTGCCCTGGACGTGGATCATCGAGGGAAAGTTTCCAAGTCTCAGTTAAAGGTCAGTTCTCTTGTGTTTTATTAATTGGTCACACTTGCAGAGAATAATCTGCAATAATCAGTTTCTGTTTAACACCAGGAAGGTTCGTGACATCTGTCCCCAGCATCGTGGCAGACGTCACAAGTGTTTCATTAAAGGGATAGGTCACCTAAAGATGTTAAATCACTCATTATCTACTCCCCACTGTGCAGATGGAGGGGTGGGTGAAGTGTTTGAGTCCTTAAAACACTTTTGGAGTCTCACAGGCAAACAGTGTTGCAGCCAAATCCATTCCATTATTGCAACCAATAATAGAAAGTAAATATATGATTTATGATACATGAAATAATTAGATTTTATAGTTTCCTGAAGCAGGGCTGTGCAGAGGGGCAGGTGCCTGTAGTTATGAAGGGGGGACATGGAACACAATTTTAAGGTTCAGTGTGTCAATATTTTAGGAGTTTGATCTATGGCTTTTCTGTCATGGGCCAATTTAGGCATACTGTCCACCATGCAACCAGAGGAAACATCAGAGGTCATGGTCCTTGCTGAGGAGAAGCCGTCTGGGTGTAGTCCTCTGTTCTTACAGTTGAGCGAACCAGTAAAAAGTACCTTTAGTCTGAGGAGTGAAAGTCCATCTGTAACGCTTGACTAGTAAAGCTTGTACATGGCAGCCAATGGCTTATTTTTATGGCAAATTTTCAAGATTGATTTTGACGTGCACCTTTAAGAATGTGTAACTGCACAGTAATGTCTTGTGTATAAGTATTTTTTTAAATATAATTCTCATATTGTGGTTCTTCAGGTTTTGTCTCACAACCTGTGCACAGTGATGAAGATCCCTCACGACCCTGTGGCCCTCGAAGAACATTTTCAAGACAATGACGAAGGGCCTCTGTCCAACGAAGGCTACATGCCGTACCTCAACAGGTTCATACTGGACAAGGTGGGGGTGAAGATGCTGGAGCTGGTTTGTGAAAGTGTGACAACAAATTCAATGATGGGGGTTAGAGATCAGAAGAAGATTTCCTTAAAGAAGAGTTGGACCAAATATATGATAAAATGGCATATGGAGATTTCAAGAATCATACAAAAGTATAGACCAAGTTCACAGTCAACTTGTATCAGAGAATATTTATTCTTATTTATTTATTTAGTCATTTAGCAGACGCTTTTAAAGCGACTTACAAGGAGACATAACATTCAAGCTTCTTAGCAACAAACATCATAGTGTAACAATAAATACAACCCTACGTTTAAGAACGTTTAGAATACATCAACAACATTACAAATCTAAAGAAGGTGCAGCGGTTAGCACTGTGACCTCAGCTGGAAGGTTCCTAGTTTGAATCCCGGATGGACTTTTCCTTGAGGAGCTAGCGTGTTCTCCCCGTGTCTGTGTAGGGTTAGGAGAAGTGGGAGCAGTCTGTCAAATGACTGTAGGTAAAAATGTGAGTGTGAATGGTCCTTTGTGTCTTGATTTTGTGATATACTGTATACTGCATAATTCAAAAACAGTGCTGACAGTGCATGTCTGAAAGAAGCTGCTATGAGCATGGCTGTGGTTTGTCATAGACAAAGTGCTGTGTACTGAAGCACTTTGAGTGGTTGACTGGAAAAGTGCTAAATAAAAACAGACCATTTACACACACACACACACACTTTGTTGAAGGGTGTATGGTACAAATAACTGATGACTAAATGTGGTCTATTTTGCTCTGTTGGAGAGGAAACGATTACCACCACTTCTCTGTCGCCCACAGTTACAGTGTTTTTGGCTAAAATTTGTCTGTAGTTGGTTTTGTGTTATTGGAATGTGTAGATAAAATACATCAAATGCTCTGTTATATATTAAAGATTGTCTTTATCTTTCTCTATGATAGAGTTTTTGCTCTAGCAGCTCATTGTTTTTTTACTGCTCATCTTATATTCATGTGAGTTTATTTTAGTCATGTTCCTAACTTTACGTTTGCAAACAACTATGGCAATTTTGCTAATTTGTCTCTTTATGTCGTCTTCTGTATTTATTTGTTCTTCGCTCTATGTGCAATGTCCTTGAAATGCTGCTGTAACAATTTGGGAACAACAAAGTACTTCTCTCTATCGATCTGTTATTCACATGTTTGTACGTGGAGCGTTTAAAAACCGACTCTCATGTCAGCTAGAAGCTGTTTTCTTGCCTTCCTCTCGTTGGCTCTGACTTGAATAGAAATTAAGCGTTTCATTACATCAGGTTTGTAGCTCACATCCTGCAGACTGGAGGTTTTGAAAGGACACAAACAACGGTCTCCTGCTTAGCATTTGTAAACACACACTCTGCTGGCGGCCTGTGCCACTTTGACTCTGACTGAATGCTGCAGTTTGGTTTTTGTTCTCAGGTGCGGGAGGATTTTGACGTGCAGGATTTTAACAAGATGTGCTGGACCCTGTGTTTCATGAAAAAAATCTGCACCAAACATCTACTCATCACACAGGACGATGCTTTCAAAGTCTGGTGCATTTTCAACTTTCTGTCAGAAGACAAGTACCCACTGGTCATCGTCATTGAAGAGGTGAGAAATAGTTGTTACCAAACAGAAAACAGTTTAAAATTAAAGGTTGATATTTTACCACCATTACATCACATCCATCTTCTTAGATTGAATACTTTCTGCGTAAGCTGCTTGAGGCCATGGGGAGCGAATGGAGTGAGGAGAAGTTTGCAGATTACAAGCTGCAGCTGAGCACCGAGAACTGCCTGACTGCCTGGGAGCTGATTGAACTGGTGGGGTTGGGGTACTTCAGCAAGGGCATGAACCAGCAGACCCTGTCCCTGGGCATCAATGAGGTCTACCAGGAACTCATACTGGATGTGCTCAAACAGGTCTGACTGGATGTTGATCTCTTTAGACTAAGATATGTTTCCTCCATTTGTGCATAAACTGCATGCTTTATAAAGAGCAGCTATTGTTTGTTGTTTTGACTTTTTTTTGCCTCACTTTTCAAATATGGCTCCTGTTTGTACTGAACATGAACCAAATCCACACTCAGGTCTAGAATATTT